CTTGCCCAGGTGACTCCAGAACTCCATCTTGGAGCTGGACTTTGCATAGGAGGGAGGAGGGGGGTCTCCACCCACAAGAGAGAGTCTATTTAAACCCGGGGGAGACCCTCCATTTTGTCTTCAGCTGGCTAAGGAAGGAGCCTCTCCACCCCCCCCACCCCCCCAGGATACTTGAAGGGAACTGGAACAAACAACAGTAACTACAGGGGGTGTGAGTGATTGCTTGACCCAGGCTAAAAGGAGATTAGCCTGTAAAAGGGAGTATTCTGGAACTGGTGAGGAACTTATCTGTATTTAGTTTGATTAGACATAGATTTGTGCATTTTATTTTATTTTACTTGGTGACTTACTTTGTTCTGTCTGTTACTACTTGGAACCACTTAAATCCTACTGTCTGTATTTAATAAAATCACTTTTTATTTAGTAACTTACTCAGAGTATGTATTAATACCTGGGGGAGCAAATAACTGTGCTTATCTCTCTATCAGTGTTATAGAGGGCGAACAATTTATGAGTTTGCTCTGCACAAGCTTTATGCAGGGTAAAACGGATTTATCTGGGTTTAGACCCCATTGGGAGTTGGGCATCTGAGTGCTAAAGACAAGCATACTTCTGTGAACTGTTTTCAGGTAAACTTGCAGCTTTGGGACAAGTGATTCAGACTGTGGGTCTGTGTTGGAGTAGATGGGAGTGTCTGGCTCAACAAGACAGGGTGCTGGAGTCCTGAGCTGGCAGGGAAAACAGGAGCAGAGGTAGTCTTTGCACTTCGGGTGGCAGCTCCCAAGGGGGTTTCTGTGATCCAACCCGTCACAGTTCCCTCATCTGCAGCATCCCCTGGTACTTCCCAGCACAGTGGGCTGCACGTTTCTGTTGGCAGCAGCCGTGTCAGAGAATGGTATATTGTGAAACATACAGGGCATTTTATAATGCCCTGTTTCTTAATTCTGGAAAAATGAACGTACGCCCAAAGCAAATAAAACTCTGCAGTCAGCCAAGCTGTTTGCACAAAACACATTAGGAAGATTAGGGTTCTGATGCACGATGATTAGATTTCTAAAATTAAATAATAGAAAAAAAACTGCTATAAGCCATCTGTAGTGTACCATGACCCCGTGGGGGCCCTTTCTGCATCTCAGCAGAATTTTATAACAGAGAGCGTGAGAGAGACAGAGAGAATGAACAAGGCTTTGTGTCCATTAGACTATTATCCCACAATGTATAATTTGTGATAGCTTCAAAATAAAATCACTCAATTTACACTGACTGAAGGTGCTGGAAACTAATATTACTATATAATGTATGTCCTTGATAGTGTAAATATGATGCTTTTAAACACACCTACCCTGTTTCCCCGAAAATAAGACAGTGTCTTATATTAATTTTTGCTCCCAAAGATGCGCTAGGTCTTATTTTCAGGGGATGTCTTATTTTTCAGAAATGAAAAATGCTTTATTATCGGGGAGGTCTTATTATCGGGGGGATGCCTTATATTACAACGAGAGGCAAAACTGTAAGTAGGCCTTATTTTCGGAGGATGTCTTATTTTCGGGGAAACAGGGTACCTGCCATTAAGTCTTTGCGCTTTTTGACAGTTAAGCTTAACTCTTCGATAAAACTCTGATTTCAGGGATTATTCTCTTGGCTGCCTGAAGTCCTGACATTTTGTCGCATTCCACTACCTCCTTGGCACACCGGGATCATTTCTTACTCTAATCCCTTTTCTGGCCGCAACCATTGCTTATGGTTTTTTATTTGAGTGTTTCCCCAGCATTCAGTTGCACACCTTGCGATTTTCACTCCCATTCACTTAAATGTCAGTCGTAAAACTACTTATTTCAATGAGACCCAGATTTAGCCCTATTCCTCTTGCTTACTCTACAGAGTTAATTTTTCTTCTGAGGGAATTCTGCGCACAATATTTTTAAATTCTGCACATGTTATTTGTCAAAATAACACAATACAATCACACCATTTTCAATTATTTGCTAACAAGAATTTGAAATGACTTACCAAAAGAATTGAAAATGGTGTGATTATATTGTTAGTGTGTTTCTGTGTTATTCTGACAAGTAAAATATGCAAAAGTTGAAAATTTTTATTTTTTTTGGTGCTGAATTCCCTCAAGAGTACCAGGGTTCTGGCTGGCGCAATCTGAGTGCAGGCTGCTCGATGGAGAGTCTGGGTGCGGGGGAGGCATCTAGGTGCACAGGGGCTCGGTGAGGGGTTCTGAGTGCAGGAGAGCCCAGGTGAAGGTGGTTAGGGCTCAGTGGGGTGGGGCGGTCCAGGTGCAGCTGGTTGGGGCTCAGTGGGGTGGGGGGCTCCTGATGCATGGGGTGCGGCTCAGTGGGGGTTAGGGAGGCTTAGTGGGGGTCTCGGTGGGTGAGTTCCAGGTGTGCGGGTGTGGGACGGGTTACTTACAGGGAGCTGCTCCCCCGTCCACCATATCCCCTTGCATCCAGATCCCCCCTACACCCAACCCCCCCACTGAGCTTCATCCCCCCCCCGCACTCAGAACTCTCCCTACCAAGCCCCTCCTGCAGTGCAGAGCTTCCTGCAGCCAGAGGAAGTTTCTGGGGATTGATCTGAACCAGCCCCAGCTGCTCTGTGCAGGATGGGAAGGGGGAGGGGGAACTCCATCTCCATCCTCCTCCTCCCCCCACCACCACCCCGCCCAGCCAAGACTAACATCCCTGGGCAGCCAGGGCAGCCCAGATCTCCTTCTCCCCCCATTGATTTACCTCTCCCCCGACTGCCCAAACAGACACATCTGAGCTGCTGGGGAGGGGTGAGTGAACACTGGTGTAGCTTCTCTTTGCTTCCCCACCCCCACAGAAACCATTTTCTGCAAGGAAGCAAAGGGAATCTCTGGGGGTGGGGGAGTCAGCATTTTTCTGCTGCACTGCAATGGTGCAGAATTTCCCCAGGAGTCGTTAATCAACTTCCTTTAGCTCAACTCAACTAGCCCTCTCAGCTACCCTGATGTACTTAATGACAGGGGTGCCAGATTGCCCTTCTTCTTCTTTGCCTTCACTTTGACCCATCAATCAAGGTCAGCAGCTTTTGTTCTTCATCTCCAAGCGTTCTTGCCAACTGTGTCGTCCAACCTGAGGCCAAACTTCTTCATGTCCTCCTTCACCATTTCAAACCACCATTTTCTAGGTCTTCCTCATGGTCTTTGTCCCTTGACTACTAGCTCTTGTACTCTCTGGCCAACACACCCCACATCTTGTCTCACATGACCCAGCCATGTCAGTCGATATGCCCTCAGCTTTTCTGTGACAGGGGATAGCTGCATCATGGCTCGTACCATTTCATTGGGTAGCTTTCGTCTTACCCAGCGTCCACTTTAGCAGTCTGAAGTCACGGTTGTTCTCTCTTCCTCATTGGCGATCATTCTGACCCATACATTATGGCTGGCCTAGTCATGATCTTATATACTTTGCTCTTTAGTTTACTTGGCATATTCTTACCACAGAGAATTCCCATCAGCTCCCTCCATTTACACCAAATGCTCTTCATACGGCTCCTAACGTCCGCATCCACATTCCCATCATGCCTCAACCCGGAACTGAGGCATTTAAATTGTTGCATAGACTTCAACTCGATGCCAGCCTATTTTACTGACTTCTTGTTGTCCCTCTCAATGAAGCATTGCGGGTATTCAGCCTTTTGTCAGCTGATTCATAAGCCATTTCCCTCTAATGCCGCCTTCCATAGTTCTAGGTCCTTGTCCAGTTCATATTTCTCGTCACAGCACAACATAATGTCCTGGGCGCAAAGCGTGCTCTACGGAGATGATCTCCTAATCTCCTGCATCAATATGCCCTTTCTAATCACAAATAGGAATCGCCAATCCTTGATATAGAGCTACCCTGGCAGCGAATGACTCCCTGCAGCAGCAGCTGCTTCTCACTACCGTGTGCTACCCTCGTACACGTGCGTGATAGTCTCAGTGTACGTCTCCGGCAGACGGCATGACCCCAGGCGT